CTTCCGATTGCGCAACGGATCCCCTTCAAAATTAACACTGACGTACAAAGCCGTCCACCATACTGCCCCGAACTACATCACTGACCTAATATCCAAGTATCCATATCCCAACACGCACACTCCGCTCCTCACAAGACCTCCTATCTCTCCCTAGTTCCCTGGTCTCCTCCTCCCATGCCCGCCTCCATGACTTCTCCAGGAGTGTCACCCCCTCTAACTGTATTATACCCATCAGATTATCACCTACTCTCCTCCCTTATAGATACCCTTAAATATCCCCCCTTATCTTCAGGGAAGCCATATACCCCCCCCCTTAACATTGCCGACCTCCTCCACTCTTCCTACCACTCCATCCCCCACAGCTATCTCACCTGTGCCATCATATCCCCCCTTATAGTATTAAAACATGGAGATCATATCCCCCCTCATGTATTTGGAGCATATTGTATGGTATTGTTCTGGACATGTTCTATCCCCCTTTGTAATGTACATGCGCTGAGCGATATCCCCCTTTATGTACTGTATAATGGAATAATATCCCCCTTATGTATTATACATGGAGATCATATCCCCCCCTTATGTATTATACATGGAGATCATATCCCCCCTTATGTATTATACACATGGAGATCATATCCCCCTTATGTATTATACATGGAGATCATATCCCCCCTTATGTATTATACATGGAGATCATATCCCCCCCTTATGTATTATACATGGAGATCATATCCCCCCCTTATGTATTATACATGGAGATCATATCCCCCCTTATGTATTATACATGGAGATCATATCCCCCCTTATGTATTATACATGGAGATCATATCCCCCCTTATGTATTATACATGGAGATCATATCCCCCCTTATGTATTATACATGGAGATCATATCCCCCCCCCTTATGTATTATACATGGAGATCATATCCCCCCTTATGTATTATACATGGAGATCATATCCCCCTTATGTATTATACATGGAGATCATATCCCCCTTATGTATTATACATGGAGATCATATCCCCCCTTATGTATTATACATGGAGATCATATCCCCCCTTATGTATTATACATGGAGATCATATCCCCCCTTATGTATTATACATGGAGATCATATCCCCCCTTATGTATTATACATGGAGATCATATCCCCCCTTATGTATTATACATGGAGATCATATCCCCCCTTATGTATTATACATGGAGATCATATCCCCCCTTATGTATTATACATGGAGATCATATCCCCCCTTATGTATTATACATGGAGATCATATCCCCCTTATGTATTATACATGGAGATCATATCCCCCTTATGTATTATACATGGAGATCATATCCCCCTTATGTATTATACATGGAGATCATATCCCCCTTATGTATTATACATGGAGATCATATCCCCCCTTATGTATTATACATGGAGATCATATCCCCCCTTATGTATTATACATGGAGATCATATCCCCCCTTATGTATTATACATGGAGATCATATCCCCCCTTATGTATTATACATGGAGATCATATCCCCCCTTATGTATTATACATGGAGATCATATCCCCCCTTATGTATTATACATGGAGATCATATCCCCCCCTTATGTATTATACATGGAGATCATATCCCCCTTATGTATTATACATGGAGATCATATCCCCCCTTATATGTATTATACATGGAGATCATATCCCCCTTATGTATTATACATGGAGATCATATCCCCCCCCTTATGTATTATACATGGAGATCATATCCCCCCTTATGTATTATACATGGAGATCATATCCCCCTTATGTATTATACATGGAGATCATATCCCCCCTTATGTATTATACATGGAGATCATATCCCCCTTATGTATTTATACATGGAGATCATATCCCCCCTTATGTATTATACATGGAGATCATATCCCCCCTTATGTATTATACATGGAGATCATATCCCCCCTTATGTATTATACATGGAGATCATATCCCCCCTTATGTATTATACATGGAGATCATATCCCCCCCTTATGTATTATACATGGAGATCATATCCCCCCTTATGTATTATACATGGAGATCATATCCCCCCCCCTATGTATTATACATGGAGATCATATCCCCCCTTATGTATTATACATGGAGATCATATCCCCCCCCTTATGTATTATACATGGAGATCATATCCCCCCTTATGTGTATTATACATGGAGATCATATCCCCCCTTATGTATTATACATGGAGATCATATCCCCCCTTATGTATTATACATGGAGATCATATCCCCCCTTATGTATTATACATGGAGATCATATCCCCCTTATGTATTATACATGGAGATCATATCCCCCCTTATGTATTATACATGGAGATCATATCCCCCCCTTATGTATTATACATGGAGATCATATCCCCCCTTATGTATTATACATGGAGATCATATCCCCCCTTATGTATTATACATGGAGATCATATCCCCCCTTATGTATTATACATGGAGATCATATCCCCCCCTTATGTATTATACATGGAGATCATATCCCCCTTATGTATTATACATGGAGATCATATCCCCCCTTATGTATTATACATGGAGATCATATCCCCCCTTATGTATTATACATGGAGATCATATCCCCCCTTATGTATTATACATGGAGATCATATCCCCCCTTATGTATTATACATGGAGATCATATCCCCCCCTTATGTATTATACATGGAGATCATATCCCCCCTTATGTATTATACATGGAGATCATATCCCCCCCTTATGTATTATACATGGAGATCATATCCCCCCTTATGTATTATACATGGAGATCATATCCCCCCCTTATTATACATGGAGATCATATCCCCCCTTATGTATTATACATGGAGATCATATCCCCCTTATGTATTATAAACTGGAGATCTGCATATTCCCTTTTCGTATTATGATTTGTACCGGGGGGGATGGGGATCATATCCCCCCTTATGTATTATACATGGAGATCTATACCCCCTTATCCTTAATACAAGAGAGGATATTATACCATGGTGATCATATCCCCCCTTAGAATTAGCTTGGGAGATTGCATCCTATATTATTAAGCTTATGTATTCTACCAGAAATCCCAGATCCTTCTCCCCATGTATTATACATGGAGAAGATCCTTCACCATTGACCCCCCCTTAGATCCTTCTTCATACCATGTTTCCTCAGATCCTTCTCCTTACCATTATACCCCCCATTGTACCCCCCCCCCTAGTATTATATGATGCATATTCTTAGCCCCCCAAGTGCAGAACCTTACATTTATCACCATTACCCTCATTGGCCCCATAGTCCCCCAATTACACAGAGTATTGAGGTCGGCTTGTAAGTTGGAGACATCCTGTAAGGACGTTATTCCCCGGCACAGCTTGGTGTCATCTGCCAAGACTGGAATGGGATTTATAATCTCACACCCCATATTGTATATATATATATTAATAAGTAAGGGTCCCAACACTGAACCCTGGGGTACCCCACTGCTAACACTGAGCCTTGGGGTACCCCACTAAATAACACTGAACCCTGGGGTACCCCACCCCACACTGAACCTTCCTCCAGGGTACCCCACTAATAACACTGAACCTTGGGGTACCCCACTAATACACTGAACCCTTGGGGTACCCCCTAATAACACTGAGCCTTGGGGTACCCCACTAATAAACACTGACCTTGGGGGATACCCCACTAATAACACTGAACCTTGGGGTACCCACTAATTTTCCACTGAACCTTGGGGTACCCCACTGACACCCCCCCAGACCTTCAGAGTATGAATCATTAACCACTACTCCCTGAATACGATCATCTTTTAGCCAGTTTTCTATCCATTTACATTCAGATTTTCTCCAGCCATAGACCCCACCTTACACATTAGCCTGTGTGGGGAACTGTATGTCCATCACTATAACCACCCACCCTTGGGGGTGCCCCTTGTCCAAGTATACCCCCACCACGTAGCCACCGCCACCCCCTGTCCCAAGTATACCACAACGTCGGCTCACCCCACCCCCCCTGTCCAAGTATACCACGTCCCCCCCGCCACAGCCCGTGGTGTCCAAGTATACCACGTCCCCCACCACCCCCATCTGTCCAAGTATACCAAGTCCACTCCACCACCCCTCTGTCCAAGTATACCACGTCCACCGCCACCCCCTGTAACATTGAGTATACCACGTCCACCGCCACCCTGAACTGTCCAAGTATACCACGTCCAATAACACTGACCCCTTGTCCAAGTATACCACGTCACCCCGCCACCCCTCTGTCCAAGTACCACTACTCTGTACCACAGCCACCCCTCTGTCCATAGACTTTAATACCACGTCCACCGCCACCCCTCCTTGTCCAAGTATACCACGTCCACACGCCACAGCCCTCTGTCCAAGTATACCACGTCCACCTCCACCCCTCTGTCCAAGTATACCACGTCCACTGCCACCCCTCTGTCCAAGTATACCACGTCCACCGCCACCCCTCTGTCCAAGTATACCACATCCACCGCCACCCCTCTGTCCAAGTATACCACGTCCACCGCCACCCCTCTGTCCAAGTATACCACGTCCACCGCCACCCCTCTGTCCAAGTATACCACGTCCACCGCCACCCCTCTGTCCAAGTATACCACGTCCACCGCCACCCTCTGTCCAAGTATACCACGTCCACCGCCACCCCTCTGTCCAAGTATACCACGTCCAGGTTTGGGGGAACCAATCAGCTCCTGTCTAGTAATCCTCTTTGTCTTTGTATTTTAGTCCATGGCCGGGAGATGAGGAAAACCTCCGAGGATTGTCTCACTTTGTCTCCAGACTGGAAAGTAGAAGAGAAGGACATCACACAGTATAGTCCAGGAGAAAACCCGGCTCCCTCCAATGTCCATCCGGCACCACCCAGTGTAGATGGAACCATCGGATTCCTCGTATCCTGAGGAACCTCAGACTGTGCGGGACCGGGCCGGCCTTCCAACAGGGAAGAGCTTCTCCTGTACTGAGTGCGGGAAGGGTTTTCAGTGTAAATCCAATCTTAATAGGCATAAAAGATCTCACACGGGGGAGAAGCCGTATTCCTGTCCTGAATGCGGGAAATGTTTTTCAGTCAAGTCCAATCTTTACACACATCAAAGATCTCACATGGGGGAGAAGCCACATTCCTGCCCTGAGTGCGGGAAATGTTTTTTGCAGAAGTCCGATCTTTACACACATCAGAGAACTCACACAGGAGAGAAGCCGTATTCCTGTCCTGAGTTGTGGGAAATGTTTTTCAAAGAAGTCCAGTCTTCACAGACATCAGAGATCTCACACGGGGGAGAAGCCGTATTCCTGTTCTGTGTGCGGGAAATGTTTTTTTGCAGAAGTCTGATCTTTCCACACATGAGAGATCTCACACAGGGGAGAAGCCGTATATTCCTGTCCTGAGTGCGGGAAATGTTTTTCACAGAAGTTTGATCTTTACACACATCAGAGATGTCACACAGGGGAGAAGCCGTATTCCTGCCCTGAGTGCGGGAAACGTTTTTCAGTGAAAGTCCAATCTTTCAAACATCAGAGATCTCACACAGGGGAGAAGCCACTTTCCTGTCCTGAGTGTGGAAAATGTTTTTCAAATATGTCCTGTCTTCACAGACATGAGAGATCACACACGAGGGAGAAGCCATATTCCTGTTCTGAGTGCGGGACATGTTTTTCACAGAAGTCCAATCTTCACAGACATCAGAGATCTCACATGGTGGAGAAGCCATATTCCTGCCTGAGTGCGGGAAATGTTTTTTCAGAGAAGTCCTATCTTTCCAGTCATCAGAGATCTCACACGGGGAGAAGCCGTATTCCTGTTCAGAGTGCGGAAAATGTTTTTCAGATAACTCTAATCTTCACAAACATCAGAGATCTCACACAGGGGAGAAGCCGTATTGCTGTCCTGAGTGTGGGAAATGTTATTCACTGAAGTCCCATCTTTATACACACCAGAGATCCCACACAGGGGAGCAGACATATTCCTGTTCTGAGTGCGGGAAATGTTTTGTATACAAATCAGAACTTGTTATACATCAGAGATATCACACGGGGGAGAAGCCGTATTCTTGTCCTGAGTGCGGAAATGTTATTCACAGAAGTCCCATCTTTCCAGACATCAGAGATCTCACACGCAGGGAGAAGCCACTTTCCTGTCCTGAGTGAGGGAAATGTTCCTCTCTGAAGTCCTGTCTTCCTGTACATCAGGGGTCCCACACAACCCTGAAGGTGTATTAGTGCCTTGAGTGCGGGAAATGTCTTCTAGATGAATGTTGCTGGACATCCCAGCTCTCATGTGGGGAAGAAGCACACCCTGATATACACCTCAGATATACTCCATGGCTGATCTTCATCATGGAAGAAACAGTTCATAAGGAGATCAGAGGTCCCCAAAGACATGGATGAAGTGTGGGACCGGGTTGGCCATTGATGGCAGGAGAAGAATAAAAATGGAGTCCATGTTCTAGCAGAAGCTCTCACAAACACTTGGAGGTCTGATGGAGGTGTGGAAGTGTGAGGTCCTGCCACTGTGACAATGACACAGGGTCCTCCTGGCTGATGTTTGAGAAGCTCCAACATGTATTTTGTGAGCAGAGAAAACTGTGTTCTAGGTTGTCAATGGATTTGGTAGTTCCGGGTCAGGACCTGGAGCTTGAAGGTTCCAGAGATTCTTGGTGGGGACAAGACCTTCAGTCCCATGTCCAGGCTTTGCTAAATGCCTGCAGCCTGTGTGAGTACATAGGTGGGCAGGATCGTTATAGGCCAGGTCTTCTGCCATTTGGAGACAGGACCCTGTCAGGAGAGCTGGGGGTTCCTGCTGGAGACTGCATCCCTTGTGAGGTGGGATTTCTTGTCCAAAGGACTGGGAAAGTCAGGACAGCTCCAAGAGTCTGGGGGACCTGAAGTGGCTTGTGAGTCCAGGGACCTGGAGGGAATCCATGGGGGTGGAGGGAGTCCAGAAGTCAATGGAGGAGTGATCAAGCTTGCGGGGGGCTGGGGAAACCTATGTAGAGGCCAGGAGTGGACCTGTGTAGTGAGGTGCTGTAACCAAGGCTGAGTAATCCTGAAGAAGTCCTAGTCTGGGGGACCAGTGTAAAGATCAGTGGGTGCTGCTGAAGTGTAGCCAGGTGAGCTTGCATTTTCAGTTTCTGATGTATTGACAAAGCTGGACAATCCCCTGCGTGGGAAACCTTATGGTGTAAAGACTTTCATTTTCCTTCTTAATAAAAGTGGGCTGCCGTGCCGATAAACCGCAAGTCTTGACTGACGTGGACTCACTTACAAACATCTACCACAGGAGCTAACAAACCCCCATATCACAGAGGGATTTCAGGAAAATACTGCATTGAGGCCACTAGATGGAGCTGACCATCATAGGAAATCATTGTGTAAAATAAATGATGGGCAAATGTATCTCGGCGGGGGAAATGCTCCTCACATTTGTCCAACTAACTTTCACTTGCAGTACAGTTGTGGCCAAAATTATTCAACCCCCACTGAAATTGAGTGTTTTGGCCAGTTTGACATTGCTTTTGATCATTCAGATCATCTTGCTTACATTTACATTAAAGAGGCACTTGTAGGTCAGACAAATATAACATAACAGTTATAATGAAATAACCACAAATGTCTTTTCTGTGCTCACAGCATTATCAGTTTTATTCAACCCCCAAGTGACATTCAATCTTAGTACTTAGTACAGCATCCTTTTACAGTTATAACAGCTTTTAAACGTGAAGCATAGCTTGACACAAGTGTCTTGCAGCGATCTACGGGTATCTTCGCCCATTCTTCATGGGCAAAGGCCTCCAGTTCAGTCACATTCTTAGGCTTGCGCACTGCAACTGCTTTCTTTAAGTCCCACCAGAGGTTCTCAATCGGATTTAAGTCTGGTGACTGCGATGGCCACTCCAAAATGTTCCAGCCTTTCCTCTGCAACCATGCTCTAGTGGACTTGGAGGTATGCTTGGGATCATTGTCCTGTTGAAAGGTCCAACGTCTCCCAAGCCTCAGGTGTGTGACGGACTGCATCACGTTTCCATCCAATATCTCCTGGTACTGAAGAGAATTCATGGTACCTTGCACACGCTGAAGCTTCCCTGTACCTGCAGAAGCAAAACAGCCCCAAAGCATGATTGACCCTCCACCATGCTTCACAGTAGGCAAGGTGTTCTTTTCATCATAGGCCTTGTTCTTCCTCCTCCAAACATAGCGTTGATCCATGGGCCCAAACAGTTCTAATTTTGTTTCATCAGTCCACAGAACACTATCCCACACAACTTTTGTGGTTTGTCCACATGGCTTTTGGCATACTGCAGTCGACTCTTCTTATTCTTTGGAGACAGCAAGGGGGTACGCCTGGGAGTTCTGGCACGGAGGCCTTCATTACGCAGTGTGCGTCTTATTGTCTGGGCTGAAACTTCTGTACCCACATCTGACAAATCTTTTCTCAGTTCCTCAGCAGTCACACGGGGACTTCTCTCCACTCTACGCTTCAGGTAGCGCACAGCAGTCGAAGTCAGCATCTTCTTTCTGCCACGACCAGGTAGCGTTTCAACAGTGCCCTTTGCCTTGAATTTGCGAATGAATGATGTTCCTAAGGTGTCTCTTGGTATGTTTAACATCTTTGCAATCTTCTTATAGCCATTGCCCTTCCTGTGAAGAGAAATCACCTCTTCTCTTGTCTTCCTGGACCATTCTCTTGCCTTCACCATGTTTGTAACCACACCAGTAAATGTCTAGAAGGAGCTGAGTATCACAGTCATTTTAAAGCTGCCTAATTGGTGCTTATTATGCTTGATTGCTGCTCGGTGACATCCACAGGTGTTTTCAATACCTGATGGAAAGCACCTGTATGAACCTCTGTTCTTCAGAGTGGTAGTCTTTAAGGGGTTGAATAATTGTGGCAATGAAGAAACCACATAAGAACCATTTACTACTGTATTACATAAACAATTGATGTCATTTTAGTTGCATTGTTGAATAATTTTGGCCACAACTGTAAGTGTTTATTATTAAAGTTTTGTAGGATACATTGTGCAACTCGTACAAATGTTCAGAAGTAACCGACCCATGAAAACAATTCCAGCGTGCATCCGTAAATCATACAAGAGAATACAAGTGATGGATATAAAGATCAATGAGCGCGGCGTGTTACAAGATCGGGTTTACAGTAACCATACACATTGTAAGAATGGCAACAAGAGGATAATTAGGGAAGGAGAAGAGAATAAAATGAGGGGGAGGGGAAATCTTGAGTTAGCCATAATTTGGGAGACTCTCTTGGATTGGGTGTGAGAGTCGGGTCCTGCACAGAGGATAGGCAAGATACCCAGTAACCAAGGCCTCCCAGGTCAGGGGGCTGAGAAAAGGAAGAGGGAAGGAAATAGAACAAGCTGGTAAGATGAAGAACAGATGGAGGACATCAGGGACCCCCCTTACCAGAAACCTGGGGCCTCAATGCCTATAGCAGTGTGTAGGTGTCCGGGGACATGGGGGGGTGAGTGTAATGTATACACGGGGCCCAGGATTCTAAGAATTTCTTATTAGACATCTTTCTTAGATGACATCTATGCTAAGATGGACTTCCATGAGGGGGCCAAGCTCTTGTTTCCAAGTCTTTGTTTTGCCGCTAGTAGAACATTTATAGCCAATTTAAACTGGTAACTTGTGATGCCTGGGGGGTTCAAATGCCATCATACCAAGGGTTCCTGGGAAGGTGGCAGGTTAGTAATGTTTGTAGCCTTTTTAGGATCGCCCAAAAGAGGACAGAGAGGCAAGTGAGGGGATATGAAGTTGCTGGAATAGTTATCAGAGTTCCAGGTGCAGAGTGTGTGACCCATCAAGAGGCTGATAGACGTAGGTCTGGATTTAGGAGGACTCCATGGGAGTGAATGGTGAGAAGTTTGAGAACAGAGCAATGCTTCTAAGTCAGCTTATAAGGAGCCATGTATTGTGGTGTAAAGGGGGGTTAGTGGGGTAATCTGGGCACCAAGAAATATTTAGTAACATTTGGAACACCCAAACCTCCTTGTTCCTTATGTATATACATAGCATGTCTTGGGATTCGTGGCCCTTTGTCTGCTCAGTTGAATCACAAGACCTGATTTTAAAAAAAAAATCAGAGTATAGGAGGAGATGGGGATCGGTGGGGGTGGGGATGGGGGGGAAGAGTACAGGACAAGTAAAGGAGTTTTGATCAAATTGTCATTTTTCCATCACTGATCCTCCCTATCCAGGAGAGGTGAAGATGAGTCCAGGACAGAAGTAGGACTCTCAAGTATTTGAAAGTGGGGATGTAGTTGGCCTCATGGAGTGTGTTGTACGAGCGAGGGAGATGAATGCCCAAATAATCCAGGTAGGAGGTGGGCCAAGGAAACTATCATTCTGTTTTACAGAGGAAAGGGAAATGTATGGAGTACAGAGAATAGGACTGGCAGGAGGTGTTGGGTTGGACCAAAGTAAGTAAAAGATCATCGGCAAACAAACTGACTTTACCCAGTTCAGGACCGACCACCACACTTATACTGCGGCAGGGCAGTCCCTCTGTTCCAGATCACATACAGTACATGTACACGTGTGAGCCCACCGCCCTGACTGTGCTGTCATTCAGTACAACACAAGCCGATTATCAGGTCCAGGCCAATGATTTCTGACCTGGACCTGCTGATCACCTGGACCTGCTGATCACCTGTACAGAATCAGAGATCTTCCTGTGTCCATATTTATAAACACAGGAACTGGAAAGGTACACTAGTGAAGAGGAGCACAAATAATACAAACTATTCCCACAAGCAGCTAAAAAAGGTGATCAATAATCACCAACCTAACAGTGAATTAAACTGAAAAAATGCTGCCCACACCTAAACATACTCATATAAATGTGCAAAAATGTTTATCAATAAAAATACAGCGCCGCGCTTTCCTTAACGGCTTTAAGTCCTCCCTATACAGAAATACTGCTACAGGGCGGACTCCCTGTGCAAAATCATGTATATATATGTGGTGGTTCATGCTCCCACGGTGACCGTGGGCCGGGAGCGTGTGTGCATGCACCAACATGCCATTGCTGTGACTC